TGCATAATACACATATTCTTTTATATGTCTTTAATCTATGTCTCTTTAATAGTCAGAACTGTTAACTTGGCTTTGCTCCATGTCATGGAGGATGTAAGGGACTGGATGAGGGTGAACACACTGAAATTAAACCCAGATAAAATTGAGGTTTTGTGGATTGTGGGTAGGGATGTCAGGCTACCACCTGGCATCCCTGGAAGAGGAGGCATGGCTAGGCACGCTGGCATCATGCTGCCCCCCCCCCCAATGGAAATGATATCATGATGTCAGGAGCAATACTCTAGGATTTGCCAAAACTCTTTGGTTAAGCCATAGAGGTTTTGTCTAATCCTAGAGCATCTCCCCGGTGGCATGATGTCACTTGTCAAGCTTTTTGACACTGCACACCAGCATAATACCAGGTTGCCCACCCCACCCCCATTTTTGCCCCTCTGGTCTTTGAAATTCTGGTGGGCAGTGTTGGAGATTGCTGGGGGAAGACTTGGCACACCTAGTTGGAGTTTAAGCTGATCTGGAAGTATGTGTTCAGCTTGCCCTAGATAGGATTGAACTTTCCCTTAAAGAGCAAATTTATACTTTAAGCATGTTTTTGCATGTGTCATTGACCCTGGAGGATGCCCAGGTGAAAGAGGTGGCAAGGATGAGTGAACTGGGAAATTTTCCAATTCAAATTTTAAGAAACCATTTAAATATTTAAATAATGTTAGCAAAGTTTAAATAATGTTAGCAAATACACATGTACATTGGGTTTGTCCATGGTTCATGCTATAAACTTCACAACCTTAAAAGCTTCAATTGGATGGAAAGCAGAACCTTAAAGGCTTCAATTGGATGGAAAGCAAAGAGATAAATTAGTCTAAAGCAGCATTTCAATGGCCACGTATGAGAGAGTTTAGCAAATGAGCAGTTCTTTACAACAGCATCCTTTGTTTTCAGAAAATAAATATTCTCTATTCAGTGACATGAACTTAAGGTTAACTTTCTTTCAATCCATTAGACATGGCATTTTCATTTTATGATTTAATTTTCTCGTAACTTGTGTTTTTTATCCAGTACATTGTTTCTGTAGCTCAAAGGCGTTAGATTAACATCTGAGGCTTTTGCAATGCATTTCACTATAGGAAGTGAAAACTGTTTAATGAAAGAAAGAAGGGGCCCACTCCAGCAGCCAGTGCTATTTTTCAGGCTGTGTTTTTTCTCTAGAATAAAGAGAAATAGGTATTTAAAAATAATATTTGTACAAATATCATTGAAGAAGAATGTCACTTGAAATGTTGACTTATATAAATTCTAGAAATAGAATTCTAGAAATTCTGTTCTAGAAATGTGTATTTTCCTATTTTTCTGCATTTATTGAAAATGGTTGTCTGTGTGAAAGTTCTGTGGATGAGTTATAGCCAGATACAAGAACTCAAGTTTAAACGGTGAAGCTCTAACTATATTTAGGTCCCGGTCACATGGGCTGGAAAATGCGGGGGGGAAGCATGGCTGTTTGCCCCGGAGCAAAGTAACGCACGGCAGCCGATCACATGTCCCGTGGAGGTCCCGTGGGTATGCCGTTAGGTGCCGATCACATGGCTATCCTGCAGCGTGGCAAAGAAGCGGCACGGCGAGATCACACTGGCAATCGCTAGGCGCCACTTCCATGGCAAACGGGAATTGTTTTCCCTCACCACAGTGTGTGCATGTGCTGGTGGGTGTTTGTGCGCATCCTGTGGAGACTTTAAAAAAAAACCATCTGGTTTGCGACGGGACATGGGCGGATACCATGGGATTCCAGAGGAAAAGTGATCAGACGCCCGCCCTTGCCCCACATTTTCCGGAAACTAGTACATTGTATGTGGTAGTTTTTTGCTCTGCATTTTCGGCGGGAAGCCACAGGTTAGCCACGGGTGCACTATGCTTCCCAGATGTTGCAGTGTGATCACGCCCGGAAAATCTGCCTATCATCCGTATCTTTAGCATGGCAAATGCTCCATGTGAATGGGGTCTTAGTACATTATCTATCTTTGAAACCACCACCCCATACCATATCCCACAGTGCTAGTTCTCAGCAGATGCATTTCACCAATTTATAGAATATAGCGCATTATGGAATGTAGGGGAGGGGACAAGAAATCTCAGGGGAGAACAATTTGAAAATCCTCCTACCCCTCCAAATATACCTACAGGGGTCATTTGGGAGGGGCGCGGGGGGACGCCATCCCCCTGGGTGAGGTGTGGGAGGGCAGGGCCTTGAGCTCCCTGCTGGTGCCCGCTGGAGGTCGCCGCCGGCTGTGTGGAGGACACACTTCCGGTGATGTCAGGGGGTGTGGCATATGCTAATGAGTTATGCTAATGAGTCACCCTAGCTCTTTTTCTACGAAATGACCCCTGCCTCTGCAAGATTTTCTATGCTCTCAGCAACTCAAACAGGCAACTTTTCCTCTCTGTCCCTTTTTCTCTTTTATAAACTATCAATTTCTGTTAGCATTCCATGCCTCCTAGAGCACATTCAGCCTTCATCAGGACAATTGTTCCCCCTTTTCAACTGGTTAATTTTACAAATATATATATTTCTGCATGACTGGGAAATCCCAGCCCCCTAGCTCATTTGTGGGTGGGCCAGTTTACTGCCACTATTATAATGGGGACTACCACTCTTGAGTAATGTTGGGGAAAATATTCTTTAAAAATGACATTGGCTGCAGTGTCACATTATTTCTAGTAAAAAAAACAAGTGGCATAGGGTAGCTCTAGGAATCACAAGAGACTCTAAAACTACCTGGGTCATGTCCAGGTGACATGTCACTGCAGCTGGCATGACACACCCCATATCCCTGCCCACAGTCCTCCTGCTGGTTGGTAGACACTGCCTGGCAATCCTAGCCTTGTTATTATATCATAGTAATAGTTTCACCTGCATTGCATCATGAGCATGACTCACTCACTGTTAAAGGGCATATATGTGAAAAGAATTCTGTGTTGAAATATTAAATACAGAGCCTGAAAAACTTGTTTAATTTTGTCATTTGATCCCCCTGCATGACTAAAAATAATGATTCTGAAGGCCTGGGGAGAAAATGGGGGGAGGGGATGGAGTTTCAGTTTTGGAGAGTGCTGAAAAAACTCCTTTCCCCCCTTTTTGGAGTGGGTGAATGCTTTTCAAGACAAGGTTTTACTCAGAATTGTGCTCTGTGAAATTTTCAAGTAAGATAATCACAGCTTTAGATAATGATAATTCCTGTATACACTGTAGACATATTGTCAAGGATATATGTTCATTGTTTAAATGCAAAATATTTTGTCCGCCATTGATACTCTGTAATGTGTAAGATGAGAAACTATTGCAGAGTGCATTGTTTTCAATGCTGTAAAGTTTAACTCAATATCCAAATACACTGATAATGTATAATTGGAATGTATAAGGCATTTCTTTTCAAATAATGCACCTTTTTTTACTACAAAATTTGATTTCTGTTTTCAGCTCCTCCACCCCACTTCTCAGGTGGCAAAAACTAAAATACATATGCAAAGGCAGCCCGGGGTGGGGGGGAGGAATAGCAGTTGCAGCTTTTTCTGTCATTATTAGGTATATTTGCAATTTTGCTTGTAAGAATCCAATGCATTTACACTTTTAAACTCCATAAGTAATCCAAATAGTACAATTTGATATGCTTTCTAAGTTATAAATGATGTGTTTTATGTTGTTAGACCAGTAAAATATTTTTAGGTTTGGTAAGAAAATAATCACTGAATATATTTCAATTTCCCCCCAAAAAACCTATCCCTCCTTCTTCAAAATGTCCAGAAAGTTACATCTCTACCCTCTTCCTGTTCCGTTTGCAGTCCCCTGCAGATCCAGAAAGTTGTTCCTGTGGGTCAGTGACTTAAGAAAATGGGATGAAATTCCCCTGTAGTGGAAGCCAGGTCTCCCATTATAGTGGGAGGTCCTCCCAACCTGGACTCCCATTACCCACTTTTGCTTGACAGGGCAGGGTGGATGAAGGGGGGGGGAGTTCAGGGTCATGCCAAGACATGCTGCCACTTCCAGTGTGAAACCAGAAGTGACATCATCTCATGAATGTGACACTCTAGGATTCACCCAACATTCTATGGTTTAACCATGAGGGTGAATCCTAGAATGTTTGCCCTAGACTGACAACTTCACTTCTGATTCTCACTAAAAGTGATATTGCACATTGCTGCAATGCTAAGTATCTCATACCCCACCACGTTTAAATTATTACTTTTAATTAAAACACTTGTAACTTGCATTTCCTTGTGGTTCAAGGTAGCTTCTGATAAGTTCCCAGCTAGAACTGGCAACCCCATTCCCCTCCTCCTCTTTTAACATTCATCTTGATGAAGACTTATGGAAAACTTGAAAGCTTGTGTATTGTACTGTAATGATTTCATTAAGAGATAGCAAAGTGTGTATGTTAACAACAATATCTTAATAAAGAATAAAAAAAGAATTAGTAGATGGCTTTTGTTCTCGAACTTTCAACCAATATGAAATCTCTTGACTGTTTTTAGTGTGGGTGTGTGTGCATGGTTTTCTAATCATAATGGAACTTTAGTTTTAGGGCTGCCAAGTCCCCCCGGGGGGCGGATAATCCCCCGCTTTGGAGGCCCGATTTCTGCCGCCGCAGAATCGGGCCCCGGGGGAAACCCCACCCCGGTGTGCATGCAGCCGGATGTGATGTGATGACGCCGGGCACGCTGGGGGCGGGGCCACAGCCATTTGAGGGGGAAACTCTATGTTTTCCTCTCAAATGGCTGTGGCCCTGCCCCCAGCGTGCCCGGCGTCATCACGTCACATCCGGCTGATGTGCATGCGGTGCACGCGTGCTCAAAGCGCGCCGATCGGGAGCCCCCCGCCGCAAGGTAAAACAGACTTGGCAACCCTATTTAGTTTACATTACTGATAGAAATAACAGTCTAGAGATTAGAAGTTTACTTTAATATATATAGGCCCTGATCTAGTAACATTAGTTTTTGATTTGTTTTTCTTGTAGTGACAGAAAGACTCTCTTAAAAGAAGCTGAAATCTTACACCAAGCAAGATTCAGCTACATTCTACCAATCCTGGGAATTTGTAATGAGCCTGAATTTCTGGGAATAGTGACAGAATATATGCCAAATGGATCATTAAACCAACTTTTACATGGAGTAAGTATTATTTGTAGCAACTTTGTCAAGGCCTCTCTCCCTGCCCCCAACCCAAGCAATGTCAATATTTCATTGTTGTAAAATGAAGCATTTTTGTTTGAAAAGGCCATGGAAAATTGAAGGGAACACAATATAGTTATAAAAAGCAGATAGCAAATTCATTTTTAAAATACTGCAGAGTATATATAGCTGCCCGTGATTGGGGTGGGAGTGGGGTTTAAAGCTGGTAACATTAAAATATACACAAATACCAATAGTTCCTAGCTATTGTAATATTTTAAATGCTGTATGAATCAATTGTTCTGTATTATCTTCTTTTAAAAATTGTTTTTCCTAACATGCTGTATTGTTAGGCTTGAACTGTTGGTAGGGTGGAAGACTGTGTTATAGTGGCCAGTTGCTCCCTTCTGAGAGCATGGATGTTGGTCTTCTTGAACTTTGTTCCAACAATCTGATCTGGAGATGTAGGTTTATATTTGACTCCAGAACTCCCTGAGTGAGGTATCTCTGGCAAACAGCAGATGTGCCAGTCTGTTCTTGAATATCTCTGTGCATCCCTTGCCGGGAAGGTGGCTGATCCTTGCTTATCATCTAAGGACAAGTATACAACCATTTATCAAGTAATGACTTACCACTCTGTGCACATTACTACTTGAGAGAGCAGATACAGATGGCCAGCTTGACGAGAATCTAATGACTCTGCTGCTTCCCTGGATTCCTGAAAATACCTAGAAATCCTTGTTGAAAAGGATGATTTCCAAACTACCAGCATAGCAAGTGGTTATCAATAAACAATAGCAAGTTACCACTTGAATGATCAATTATATGCATCCTCAGAGATGCATTTTCAATTACTGTTCTTCAGCTTGGAACTCTCTTTCAGAGGTTCACCAAACCCTGTTTATTTTTCGAAAGCATAGAAAGCCTTCTGAAAACTAGGCAAGCATTTTGTGTTAAGGGAGAAATATAGTACACATTTCAGTTTTATTACTTTGTATAGTGAGAATCATTGTGGCAAAGCTGTTAAGTGTATCAGATTTAGATTCCTCTTGCGCCATAGAAGCTTGCTGGGCGACCATGGGCCAGGCACACTCTCTCAGCCTAACCTACCTCACAGGGTTGTTGTGAGGACAAAACAAAGAAAAGAAGAATGATGTAAGCGGCTTTGGATCCCCATTGGGGAGAAAGGTGGGGTATAAATGAAGTAAATAAATTTTAAAAATTAGCCATAAAACAAATAATATATTTGTGTTTTAATCATTTTCTCTTTTTCTTTTTTAAAAAGAAAAATATATATCCTGACATTGCTTGGTCCCTGAGGTTTCGCATGCTGTATGAAATAGCTTTGGGAGTAAACTATCTTCATAACATGAGTCCTCCCCTTTTGCACCATGATTTGAAGACACAGAATATTTTACTTGACAGTGAGTTTCACGTTAAGGTATGCTCTGTCTTTCTCTCTGGTGTCTCTGTTGCTCTAAATGGGGGCTGAGGTGTTTGTCATTTTGCAGAAAAGAGGAAGCATTCCAATAAGGGAAATGAGACTACTCAAGAGTACAGATTCTACGGTATAAAGCACATGCTGTTTGTAAATATGGCACACATTACTGTTCAGGAAGCAAGCACAGGGCCATGCAACATAGGGAGCTGCTTTATACCATCAGATCATTAAATCACTATTTTTTGTTCTGACTCTCAGCCGTTCTTGGGTAAAGAAAAAATATTTCCTAACATCTGCTCTTTGAAACCCTTTAACTGGAGATGCCAGGAATTGGGACCATTAAAGTGTGTGCTCTACCACTGAGCCACTGGGTTGCAAAAATGCAGTCATAATCATTGGTTTAACAATGGGAATTTCTTTCATTAGATTTCACCACTTTGGGGAAGACTGCTATACAGTGCAATCCTAAACAGAGTTACACCCTTATGTTTGTGCATGGCTCATGCTGTATAGCTGCACTTTGGTGCCCACTACAAAGGTGTTTATGTTGTGACTGTGCAGAAGCATACAACTCCATGGTTTTTGCACCATGATAACTAGTTTAAATTGTGCAGCAACATGGAATCTGCTTCTTGTAGTTGTGTGAAAGGGCACAGTGCTAAGGGGGATAATGACGCATCTTAGGACTACAAGTACAGTTAAACTCTCCCCCCAGTAGGTGCTGATATCTTCCAGGCCTGTTTTTTAAACATTAGATGCTAGAAATCTGCTTTTCTAAAACATGAATTTTGTAATCATAGAAAAGCACGATTGCAGAATACATGTTAGCTGCCTCTGGGAAGTGGAAAACAGCTTTTGTCTTTGCTCTGAAATACATATTCTGGATTAGCAGTGTTTTTCATTTCATCGCTACAAATTTCTATAGGTTATTTGATTTGGCTATATATTAATACTGAATTAGTAATCCCCAATGTATTTTTAACAATGAGTATTTTTTCATTTGTTTGTTTGAAGAGGTAGAATTCAGTCTAGTTTTATGATTTATCTGACATACAGAAAATAATGCTGCTTGGGTGGGGAGAGAGAATGCACTGTTTTTAAAAAGGAAGTGATAAAGTTGTGTAAGAATTACAATGGCCATGCAAGCATGTGGTACATATATCTCATGCTGAGTAAGATTTCTAGAATGACTGTACTAGTGACAGTTCATGCACGAAGGCACACCCAAATGCAATTAAGACTTTTCCACAGAAATATGTATTGAAAATAGTTACTATACGAAGGAGGGTGGGGTTTAGGAAGGACCTCAGCAGGGTATAATGCCATAAAGTCCACTCGCCAAAGCAACCATTGGGGAACTGCTCTTTGTGATCTGGAGATCAGTTATAATTCCAGGAGGTCTCCAGGTCTCTCCAGGAGGCCACAACCCCAGAAGCAACTCTTGGGCTTCCCCTTCAATACAACCAAACTCTTAAGATTTGCAGTCTTCTTTTCAAGGCTTAGAATCCTGGTTGCAGAGAGAAAGGGGATCAGGCACACCATAGTTCATGATGTGAAGATAAAGATCAGTAACATTGGACAGCAAATATTTCACTGCCAAGCCACACTCACTGGAAGAAGAGCCCAAGGTCTCCCCATTCATACATCACCCAAAGCATTGTCTTGTTCTTCTGTCTGAACTGTGGCTCTATCAGAATAAAACTGACATATTCTTTATTCTTCAATTGACTTGAGGTTTTGTTCCTTCCAGATTGCGGATTTCGGTTTGTCAAAATGGCGCATGGTGTCCATTTCACAGTCACGAGGAGAGAAAACTATGTCGGAGGGAGGGACTATTGTCTACATGCCGCCTGAAGATTATAATCCTAATCAAAAAACACGGGCAAGTGTGAAGCATGATATATACAGGTACTACTAGTACTACTACTACTTTTATGATTGTTATGAAATGTTTAAATAAATAAAATGATGTTATTTTATGTATTCTGTTTTATGTATTTTACTTGTATTGTAAGCCACCTTGAGTTCAGTCAGGTAGGAAGGCAGCTAACAAATGTTATAAATATTTTTATCATCATTTATCATCAATATAAAATTAATGAATTAACATACGGTTGCATTTCAGAAACAACCTTCCCTATTGGACATTATATGTACAGTATATCAGAATGCTAGTGTCTGCATTCAAATATTATACAAAACTGGGATTTAAACAACCTGTGGGGGGAGGGTAGAGGTCAAGAACTTCCCTTCCAAACATGCTGCTGTGCTAGCATTTTTGGATATATTCTTGAAGAGCATACAGATCAAAAAGTTACATCAAAATGAGTTTTCAGTTCAAAACCTTTATTGGCATAGATCAGAATCATACACAATCACCAAATCAAAATGAGTTATTTACAGGAAACGGGAACTGTGAATTGTTGCGTGAAATTTTATCCATTCTAAAAGTCTTCCTTATGTAAGAACAGCAAAGACTTCAGAGCTTAAGCATAGGTGGGCCATATGTGTGAAGTGGTTACATTCTGTTTCTGTATGCTCACAATAGGAATTCTGATACGGTGCATTGTGAATTGAAATTGGCCACGTGAAGGTCTAAAGAGACAGTCTCATTTCTTTAACATACCAGAGTCAGATAAGCCAAACATTAGAAGCAATCTTGTAGAGTGTGGTCCTTGAATATTTGTGGTAATACTCTCCTCACTGATTTCACTAGAAATTTAAGTAAACTAACAAATGATACACTGGCTTGTATTCAACAAGCTGTGAGTAGAGTGGAACAAACCTCATGGAACAGAATTTCCTGACTCTGGCTCTCTCCTGCAGCACTGAGAGCCAAACTATACGTTGTGTTTTTTCACTTAACTCTAGTTAAGGCATGAGAGGCCAAATGGTCTCAAAACAGCACCACAAGGGGAGGAAGGGCTCCTGCTTTCCCTCTAGGGTTGCCAAGTCAACTCACCCCTCGGAGCGGGGGAGCCTCACCAGGGTCCGGGAGTTCGTGTCGGATGTGTGCGCGCGCAAAGCGCACGTGCGCCAGCAGCACGTCACAGGAAGTTACATGCTGTGTGCTCACATTGGGGGCGTGGCCCACATCGTCGGGGGGGAAACCATATGGTTTTCCCCCCAACGATGTGGGGTGGCTGCGTCACCTCCAGTGACGCAGCTTCGGGGGCAAAGTTCCGCCCGGGGCCCAATTCCGCCACGGCGGAAATCGGGCCTCCGAAGCGGGGGATTCCCCACCCCCCGGGCCCATTTGGCAACCCTACTCCCCTCCCCCCAGCAAAAACTGCACAGGGGAGTTATTTCGCCAATTTTGCTGCTCCACGGAGAAGTATCTGTGCACATGGAGCAGCAAAATCAACAGAATAACCTCCCAAAGGGAAGTTTTCATGTGAGAAAACTGGTTTTTGGGGGGAGGGAGGCAGGAGCCCTTCCTTCCCCCGCAAAGCCATGCCGAGCCTATTTGGGCTTTATTTTTATTTTTTAAGAGGAAGTCCCCTGCAGTTGCTGTGTGGCTGCAGGGAACACGGGAAAATAAGTGTAAAAACTGGCTAAGATCCTCCTTAAATTCTGCTCTTGTAATTTAAAATTTTTAATTGAACAAAACAGATAGCAAGAAATAACAGAAACGAAAAAGAAAAAATACACACATATATAAAATAGAACGAGGCATCCGTTTTTCTCTGTGCCCTGGTGATTAAACTCTGCTCTTAAGGGCAACGAGATCCTCACAAACAGGAAGGGGGAGCAAAATGAAGGTTTGCAGTTCAAGGGGGAATTGACAAATATGCTCCCCCCTCTCCACAGAGGGGCATTTTGGGATATGTGAAATGATAATAGGATATAAAACCCACTGTCTGTGTATTTGTTGGGATTCCTTTATTTTAGCAGAAAACTGTGGAATGGATCTATACTAATGTGAACTTTTACTTTTAAACAGTTACGCCATTATTATGTGGGAAGTATTATCAAGAAAGCAGCCTTTTGAAGGTCAGATTCCTGTCTTTATTCTGTTAACAGGCAGCAGTTGTTTAAGAAGCCAGTATGTTAAAAAATGCCTCACTGAAAAATATATACTGCAACTTTTTTAAAATGACCAGTGCTTTTCTCTTAAATTTTTAAGTTGCATTTATATAAATGAAGCCATGAAACTCTGGGAGGTGGGCTTGGTTTTCCCCTAGCAACCATTTATTTATTAATAATTGCAATTATTTTGGAAGCAATATAGCGTAATTCAAAATGCCAGATATTGTTTTTATGTTCAGATGTAATTCTGCTACTGGAGAAATAAGTACATGTATTTCTAATGAATGCATAATATCTCCTTTGACAGATGTTATAAACCCCTTGCAGATTATGTATACCGTGATGCAAGGAAAGCGTCCAGACACTAGTGAAGAATATTTACCACTTAACATTCCTCACCGAGAACTGATGAAGTCATTAATGGAAAGGAGCTGGGCACAAAACCCAGATGAAAGGCCTTCTTTTTCAAGTCAGTTTCACATTTGTGCTGTGGGTTGGGAAGTTGGCAAGCATATTCTGTGGCCCAGTGTTCTGTCATTTATGTTGCTTTTATGGAAACATTCTCATTGCCCGACATGCATCTGAAAGAAATGAGAACAAACTGTCCCCAGCAGTGTGCTTTATCGATAGTTCAGTCTAAAGGTCAGTTTTGAACATCTAATCAAATGCTATTTGCCATACACCTAATGTACCTGTATTACAGTTGTTTGGGGAGATCCTGAACGTATAGACAGTTTTTACACCTACACATAATGGTGAGGGTTGGAGTACACAGAGGGAGCTAGCAGAGCCTAGTGCGGAGGCCCCAAGCAAGCAATCCCAGTAAAAATCCAAGGAAAAGATGTTAAAATGAGAAAGAGAAAAAAGCATCTGAAAGCAGCCATGCAGAGGGAGAGGAGGGACTGAGCACAGCCAGAGGGCTGAAATTCAGGGGATGCAGCAGAGTGAAGTGCAGCAAGATCTGCTTACTGAATATACACCAGGAGATTACAACTGAGGGGACCTACAAGAATTTACAGGCAGTTTCTCGTTTCCCCTCCCCACCCCCTTTCCCCTCTTTTCTCTTGCTGAAAGCCCCCATAAGCTCTTCCCTTTTCCTGCTTCCTTCACTCCTTCCCTCCCACAAACCAGCCTATTTTTATCTGCCCTTCTGTCTTCAACTTTCACTTCTTCCCTTGCCCTGGTAGCCTCTGCCCAGGAGAATTACAACCCAATAGTACCATGCTGGCCACTGGGTCCAGTTGCACATTGGAGAACCTGCAAGGACTTATGGGGGCACCTTGCTTTCCCCTGGATCCCCCTCCCCACACTATTTCCTATTTCCCTCCCCCGGGAAACCTTTCCCTTTTTTTTTCCCTACATCTTTCTTTCCTTCCACCAGCCAACCTATCTTTTTTTCTGCCCCTTATCTTCAACTACATTTATTATTTATCTACTTCATTTATACCCTGCCTTTCTCCACAATGAGGACTCAAAGCAGCTTGCATCATTCTCCTCGCCTCCATTTTATCCTCACAACACCCAGTGATGTAGGTTAGGCTGAGTTTCCATGGCAGAGTAGTGATTCGAACCTGGGTCCTCCCAGGTCCTAGTTTGAAACTCTAACCACTACATCACACTGGCTTCCATGGGGTGGCTGCTGTTCAACCATAAAAGCAGCCAGGCATGGGTCACTGATGTAAGTCAGTTAGTAGGAAGTTGCCCAGTGAGCCATCCTTCGGAGGCCAAAAAGGTCATAGACCGGGCCCTGCTCTCTCCTTCCCCCTGCTTTTAACTAACAGCAACCAGGCCTTGAAGGCTGGCAAAATTGTGTGGTTGCTAATAATGACCGCAGAGAAGACAATAGCCTCTTAAAGCAATATGCGACATGTGGTGCTTCTATTGGGGGGGAGGTGTTAAAGCCCAGTGTATTTTTTGACATCTTGGATTTTTCTTCAAAGTTGGGCCTTTTTCATGTTTATAGAAAGATCTGTCTTGTTTGTTCATAATTGTGGTCTCAGAATTTAAGAATCCATAGATTTGGCCATGTTTAAGTCTCGCCTCCAACATTCTAAACAGTTTGCTGTTCCTCTCCCCCCCCCCCTAGCCAGTCAGAACACAGAGGTTATTTGCATGGAACACAGAGGTCGTTTGCATATGCGACTTGATTGGCTTTTGCGTCTAACATTCTAAACAGTTTGCTGTTCTGAGGTAAAATGTGTCCAATCTCCAGGTGAGGGCTGGAGATCACTCAGAATTGCAACTGCTTTCCAGATGGCAGAGATCAGTTCCCCTGGAGAAAATGGTGGGCTCTGTATCCTTATATGCTGCTGAGGTGGCCCCCATATGACAGCCAATGTGACGTAGCAGTCAGGGCTTCAGAGCATGGGAGAGGCTGCAGGTGTGTGGGGGGTGGAAAGCTGAAGAGTGAGGGGGGAATAAAGGTAGGTTGATGATTGGCTGGGAAGGAGATAGGGTTGCCAACTCCAGGTGGGAAATTCCTGGAGATGTGAGGGATGGAGCCTGGAGAGGGTGAGGTTTCAGGAGGCGTGGGACCTCGGACAGGTACAAAGCCATAGACTCCACCCTCCAAACCAACTATTCCCTTCTGGGGAACCATCGTTGCCAATCTTCAGGTGAGGGCTGGAGATCACTCAAAATTACAACTGTTCTTTAGGTAGCAGAGATCAGTTCCTCTGGAGAAAATGGTGGACTCAGTGTCATTATACCCTGCTGAGGTCGCCACAGCAAATTGACACTGAGTTTCCAAGGCCGGGGCACCCGCCCAGAGCCTCTTTCTAGAGGCCGCTGTATTTATTTTCATAACGGGCCTTTTTCCTAGTTAGATATATTGATGATGATTATACTTCTTGATCTAGAAGCCTGGGAATAAACAGGGAACAAAAGCTTTGAGTTCTCCTTGTGCCTTATTTCTGAGTTGTCCAAACTGGTGGACTTGAAAGCACCACAAGTTGACTACAGACACAAACATTTTTTACAAGCTTTTAATTTTTTTAAAGAAAAATTTGGTGGTTGTTGGTGGCTGTTGCATACCATTTTGTTCTTCAAATTTGATATTCTAGTTATTGGAAGGTCCTGTCTACATCCATCCATATGACACTGAGTCTTATAAGTTTGTGGTGCCAGATGAAGACATATTTATTTCCCCAGGCATCCTATTAATTTATATTTTCTACAGAGATGTGTTACTGATTTTAGAAAATTGGCATTTATCTAGTTTTTTTCTGTCCTCATTACTTGGTTGACTTTTAAAAGAGTAATAGACTTATGTGTCCCACTGTATTAAGATTTTAATTTTACTACTTGCTTTATTTTTTATGATGATTAGATTATAAAATTGCTGCTGTTCTAATTCAGTTTTTTAAATTCTTTAGTATTTTGTGATAACTGTGTCATAAATAATTCTGTAGGTTGTTTCATCTGAAGTTGTAATCCTCCTGAAGAGCCAAATTTGGCTGAGAATTTGCAGGACATAGGAGGTTTTTAATTAATAAATGCACATCTGCTTAGAGCTGGGGGAGCATGGCTGCATATGCTGGTGTGGCGGCATTTGTGATGCAGTTCTAAACAGAATTATATCCTTCTAAATCCATTGAATTTGATGTTCTTAGAAGGGTATAATTCTGTTTAGGACTGCACTGTTGGAACTTTCATGTCAGTGTTGATGGAGCTTGTCCTTAAGTCTTTCTCAGCAATCCCTTTAGATAGTTCAGTAATTACTGTTACAGATCTACTTCTCTTGAACCAAAGGCCCTTTTTTTCTTGTTCAGAATGCTTAATAGAGCTTGAACCGGTACTGAGAACATTTGATGAGATACCTATGCTTCAAGCAGTGATACAGTTAAAGAAGGCCAAAGTAAGTAAGCTTTAAGTTACAACTTAACCAAAAAATACACTAATGTGGGAGTTATCTGTCCATTAGAAGAAATATGGGGGAATTTCAGACAGGTGATATCTCCCGGTAGGGAACCGGTTCTCAAACGGGTTCTGGTCTGTCATTTCAGAGGGAACCCGTTTGAGAATCGGTTCCCTACCGGAATGTAACTGCCATTTCACACACAAAAGCTTCAGTCCCGTTTAGGAACCGGGACTGAAGCATTTCACCTGTCAACTGCTTTTGAGTAGTCTCCAATTCCCTCTCCCGGTTCGGATACGCTTTTTTCTCACCTTTTTTCGCCCGCACGGGCGATCTCCGGCTGTTTTTTTTTTTTTTTTTTTTTTTTTTTTTTGAACGTTCGCTTTATAGCGTTATAGCGCTATAGCGCTATAACGCTATAAAGGAATAGCACTATATCAATCCCATTGGAATGCATGGAGTGTTTCGTTATACTGCTATAGCGCTATAAATCAACCTTTTTAAAAAAAAATCGATCACCCGCACGGGAAGAAAACGGCGGGAAAACAAAGCGGTGCATGTCTGAAATGCCAAACCGCTTCTGAATCGGCTGGTTTCCGGTAGGGGCAAGCCATGTGTGAAATGGCAGCCCTGTACCGGTTCACCTCAAAACGGAAGAATACCGGCTTGAAACTGGGAGAAACTGGGTAATGTGAAATTCCACACGATTAACATATAACTGAAGATTGAAATTATATACATGGAACTGTGTCAGGGTGATTGATGTAAGCGTGCTAATGTTTCTTTCAGGCACAATATGAGTGGCAATGTCTTCGCTTACCTAGCAAGATGTCCAGTGATGAGTCAATATCTCTTAACATCCCAGTAAATGCTAGTTCACAACAGGTAAAACAACCTTTTCATTTGTTAGTACTAACACCACCATAACAACTTAACTTTGATTTAGCATTTGGAATCCTCTGAAGCACTTAACATACATTGTCTCTCCCCTTTTCATTGAGCACAGATATACTCAAAAGCACTTAAAATGGCTTCAGTGTCCCTGTCCTATACACAATTGCACAGTAAGGAAAGGGTAGGTCTTTTCAGAATCCACTGAGTACATACTTAGGGTGACTTAGATTTTACAAACAGAAAAGTCACCAACCCCAGCTACCATGAATACTTCTGTGTGCTAAGAACAAAGACCTGTTGATAGTGAATTGGTTCTTTTCTTTTTTTGTGAGTATTTGTGTGTGTACGTGCGCCTGGAAGTCATGGCTGACTTCTGGCGACTCCTAGTGGGGCTGGGAGGCAAGGATGTTCAGAGAGGTGGCTTGCTGTCTGCCTCTGTGTCACAGCCCTGCTATTCCTTGGAGGTCTTCCATCCAAGTACTTGCCAGGGTCAGCCCTGCTTAGCTTCTGAGATCTGATGAGATCGGGCTCGTCTGGGCTATCCATGTCAGAACAACAATGGATTGTTTTTTGATGTTCAGAAACAGAGATATGCAGTACAGTGTAGGGATGTTAGTTCAGATTTCAGGAAGGGCATAAATACCAATATTCCAGATTACTTAGGTCCCCAATACTGTTTTGGTATTTGGATTTGTTTTTTGGAAGGGGATTCTGAAATTATTCAGGTCCATTTTTTCCCATAGGGAATCTATGGGGGGGTTGGAGTAGATGTTTTTCAAGCAAATAACACCAAAATGCCAGGAACCTAGTCTTGCCTGTCCACTAAAGAACCCCCAAGTTTCAAGAACACTGGATCAAGGGTTCCAATTCAATGGGCTCCTGAACAGGGGCCATTGTACTTGTCTCCATTGTTTCCTATGGGGGGATTTCATGCTTTCTTCAGGGCAAAGAAGCCAGTAACCAAACACACTAGAGCAAACAACCAGTGGCCAAAAGCCTCCCAATGCAAACAGAACCAACAAGTCCAACAGAACCAATATCAAACCAGAGAACCCTAGCAGAAATACAGGCCAATGTGTCAAGCCCAACATAACCAATGTCATACCAGAGAATCAAAGCCAAACCAGCTGAAGCAAGGGACACTGTTGCAATACCAACAGAACTAATGTCAAACCAGAGAATCCAAGCCAAGAACCTGACAAGATGATGCCAGGAAGTAAAATTGAAGGAAAATAGTCCTTGGAACCTTAAAATGCTGGGGCCCCCCCAATTATTCCCAGTTATTTCTTAGAATCTTGAAAAATCCTGAATACCATCCAGACACCTAAATAGCTCTGGAAAATACCAATAATCCCCCCTTCCCCCGGTATATATTCAGACTGGCAGTATTCAAGTGCACAGCTCTAGTGCAGAGAGCAACACACCATGACACACACTGGAAGCTCCCACTAGGGAAGATGTTATATCAGGCTTTATTAAATGTATATATGATTATATTTGTTCCAGGAAGCATGTGACTCTTTACTCCAAAGTGAAGGACTTCCTCTACGAAGCCTTCCCCCAGAAACTTCAGAACTTTGCCCTGCATCGCAGTACAATATGCTCTCAAAAGGTAATGCACTTTTGACATACTATAACTTTGGTTACTGCTGATTGAAAATCAGTTGAAAATAAGGTTGCACATGTCTCTGTAGACTGCCAACAGCATGCTAAATACTGAATGGCTATCTTTCTGTTTATTAAATATACATTTACTCTACCCTTCCACAAGGATCTCAGGGCAACATATTTATTATTTATTTAGATTATTTGTAGTCTTCCTTTCTTACTGGGACTCAAGGTGGATTACACAGAGCGAGCCAATACAGTCAACAAGATTGGATGTTTAATTTAGGTTGTAGGACCAACCAGAAGTTTAAAAACAAAACTGAAGCAAAGCTTCTTCTGTTTTATTTTCATACCTTGTGATGTGCAAGTTAGGCTGTGAGAGAGAGTGACTGGCCCGGGGTCAGCTAGCAAGCTTTTTGGCAGCATGGGGGTTTGAACTTAGGTCTCTTGGTTTCTAAAACTTCTATAGGTTCCACCAAGCCTATGGTTGAGGACAGCAGTGGTTCTTCTTTTGGCCTTACTACAGCCTTCACTATGTCTGATTCATGACCTTCCTTTAGGAGGGAGCATAATTTTATGTAGGCCATCGATAACTAGTCAATGTGCATTGCAGTGTACTGATCTACTGTTTTAGCTATTTTTCATATTGTATTTTAACCCCTGTATTCTAATGATGTTATGCCCCATCCTGAGCCCTCCAGGGGAGGGTGGTTTCTAAAGAATAACAATAACAATAACAATACACTATAGTGGCTGTCCATCTGTTTCGGTGCACAGTTTGAACTGCTCTTCATTCCTCTAAAGCCCTAAACAGCTGGGGGCTGGTGTACTTGAAGGACTGCCTCTTTCCATATTGTCCAGCCCACAACAAGGGTGTTTTCTTAAGCTCTGCTCTCTTTGCCTTTGCCTGCAGCTATGAGGCAGATAGTAATAAAAGTACAGATTTGTTAAGTGGTGGTGCTTTGCCTTGAGAATACCCTCTCCCTTGATCCTCATCTGGCAGCTACCTTACTCTCCTTGTGGCACCAGGCTGTTGTAAATATTAGATTCCATGTCAAAAATGAAGTCAAATGAGGAGGAAGTTCTTGTATTTTATTGTAATGAAATATGGAAAACAGTTAGGCCAAAGGACCCATCAAAACTGACTGCTTTCTTCTCAGCATAATCAGGAAACATGCCTCAATCAATAGGAAAACAATTAGACCAAATGGTTAACCAAAAATTGACAACTTTCTTCTTTTTCTTCTTCTTCTTGAGCATATTCTGAACATATTCAGGAAATACATAAAGTTAAATACTTAAAATGACATCATCATACCATCATCATGGGAATAATATTCAAAAGGCATAATTGGTTACAAAAACGTAAACAACGTTTACATAAAAATCTCCTTATTGGTCAAATGTAAGAAAGGTGTGCCTATGCAATAGCGTCACATATTTACTTGACATGACCCAAGGCATATCGGCTAAAGCTTGTTCGTCCCCAAACAAAAGTATTCATTACTGATACGAGACTAAAATCCTATCTGACCCAGACATTGAAAGGTTTGCCCTAAGAACTACAGAATCATGTACTTTGTACCTATTATGTTGTCTGCTAGCAATATCAGACCTACAAGAGGAAAGCCTTCTATATAACAGGCCTTTCTAACATCCTAATAAAATATTACTTAAAGAATAAATCTATAAAAACCAGAGAAATATGAATATGAACAATCAAGAAGGAAAAACCTATATATGAAAATCTTTATATTCCCATTCATACTACAAGGCCAAGACATTGTCTTCTTACCCAGGCTTTTACCTAAGGGGTTCCTTGTTTTTTAGCTATTTTATGGTCTGCTGCTACTCTGACAATTGCCATTTTAGCCTAAAGATATCATTTTAGACTGCTGTGTTTATTTTATGGGCATTTATGTCCTGGCTTATTCTCATTGCTTTGGCTTGTTTTTATTGACTGATTTTTTAAAATGTATTAACTATTGGGTTGACTTGTTTTATTTATTTGTTCTTATTGTCTTGGTTGGTTTTTGCTTTGTTGTTTTAGTTCTGAGCCACCTCAGTCAGGTCTGGAGATACAAAATACAAATTTTCTAAATAGATGCATAAGCTTTTGTCCCAGGAGACTTTGAATAGCATTGACAGTAGGGAATGAACCAAAGTGGAGAGAGAAAAAAGAAGGGGGGATGAATTGGCAGCATGCAAATCAAAATAGGTTAATTACAGTGCCATCCTAGGAATGCTTTCCTGGAAGTAATCCCCATTGAGTAGACCTGAGCAGAATTCTAAGTAGGCCTGTTTAGGATAATTGCTTTCTTAGACTGCAGGCCCATGGGGCAGGCATCCAAAAATATTCTGTGCTCTGTTTTAGGGCAGTCTTCTACTGCTTAGTAAACATGTGCACTATGCCAAATTCATGAAGCTTTACACAGAGGAACCCTAGTTCATTATTCTGTGTGGGGTGAATGCACAGGAAGCAATGCATAAAAGGATACAAACTGGTTAAACAAGAGCAGAAGTTCAAGGGACAACTTTAAAGACCCTAAGGGGATGGTACAGCAGGCTTGTCCTGTCTGTTCACCTCTGAGTTAAACAGTTTGAGTTTCAGGATACAGTATTTAACAAGGCTTTCAAAATTATTCTTATCAGTTATCCCATCGAAAATATTGAGAACATGACTTGCTAGCTTGAGGTCATAATATTTTTAGAAATATCATGAAAGTAGTGAGCAGTCCAAGAGGTGTACCCTGAACTATCTCCTAATGATGCAAGGGATGCTGAGATGCAGGCCAGGATTCTCTGTCCAATCTCTTGATCAAAGGTTTGGGCCATCAATAGCAACTTAGTCTTCAGGATGTCATTCTTTCCTTTTCCCACACACCACTTTGAAGTTCTGCTGAACACTGTCCCTGGCAAAATGCACATTTACAAACCAATTCATTTCTTAATATTTTGTTTGTGAAAGGGGGGAGATCTTACTATAATAGTTATTTGTGTGTGTGTGTGTGTTTCTCGTATTTCATATTGCTCAAGGAAGTAACATGAAGCCTGAAGAGCATTTCTACATGGACTTCATTGCTTTCAGCTTTAATTCATGCATTAAAAGCCACTACTGTACTACTGCTGATGCTTGATTTGGATACGAACTCAAGGATGTCTTGTTACTGTTCACCCTGAAGCAAAAACAGAAAGCAAAGAACTGTGGCCAGTTTGACTCTTTCCAAGTTTCATAGTTCTTGAATGAGTGACCCTTAAGCAATGTTCACAAAGGGGCTTTCCTGTGCAATCTGATGCTTGTGTAATACAAGGTTGTCTGTGTTAGTCATCATGCAGTCAGCAAACTGGAGATCAAAAGCTCTGAACCAGGGCAGAAACCCCCTTTCTGCTTTCCTCAGATGAAAAAGATGTGTTCCTAGGTACAGTCAAGTTGCTTTCTTTCTGCTCAGTGAATTATTGATTCTACAAAGCATAGACCAGGGGTCCCAAGCATTGTGCCCATGGGTGCCATGTGCCCTGCCACTATCTTTCCTGGTGTTTCCCAAGTGTTTTTAAAAGTGGGTGGGTCCAGGTGGGGCTTTCGCCCAGCAAGGCTTCTGATTGGCCATTGGAGATTCGATTGGCTGTACAAATTTTTTTCAAACATTACATTGGCTGTAGCTGCCACTACAGTACAATAATCTTGATATGTCTGACTCAAGGTAAGCTTTGGCAGCCATTTTGTGGTTGTACCCACCATGCTATGTCAGAATTCCAAAGGTTCCCTCAGGCTTAAAAAGGTTGGGAACACCTGGCATAGAGGTTAAAAGTGTCAGACTAGGAGGCACTGAGAGGTTTGAAAGGCTGCTCAGCCTAAATTATCTCACAAGGTCATGTTGAGGATTAGATGCAGGACAGTAAAATAATGTTATAAGCCAATTTGGGTCACCACTAGAGAGAAAAGGTGGTGGGTAGTAGTAATGTTGCCAATTTCCCAGTCCTGCCAAGGGAATTACTGCCAGTGCTTCCCCTGCCCCTCTGCCAGTAGGGGGGCAGCATCATGTGGTGCCACAACATCATTTCCAGCCACAAAAAAGTGACATTGTGGCATTGCATTACACTGTTCCCATGTGTCTCTGACAGCCCAGTCCTCCTGTCTCTCTTGGCTGGCAACCCTAAGTAGTCGTGGTTTATCAAATGCTTTATGAAACGAAACCTTTTTCCTTGGCTGTCAACAAAGCCCGTCATCACTGCCTGACAGACATTTGCCTTGTGGAGATTACTGTGACACCATGCCATAAAAAAAATTGAAATTGTCCTGCCAAGAGTGTTGCTGTTTCCTTTCACTATCTTGTTCTCCATCTCCAGATAGTATCTGGGCTAAAGAATGTCTAAAAGTATTATGTGGTTCATGAAGCGTTAATGTTGGGAGCAGGGGCCATCAGTTTCCTGGTGGAGACTGGGAAGAAGAACCTGAGCAAGGGTTTTGCAGGCTGAATGCTGGGGTCGTTGTTTTGTTTTGTTGTGTTATACTTCAGAGCCTAAGTTGTATTATATCAAAACCAGTTGGGTTTTCTTCAAAGCACTGAGGCTTTTGACCTTGAGGCACATGAAGGAATATCTCTAAACTCCATTACTAGAAGAGTGCACAACCAATGGCCTTAATCCTACCTGGTAAATATTCTCCTAACAGGAAAAAGAGAGAATACCTTTTGAAGAATGACTGTTTGGTGAATCATGCACATTTTAAAGTGAGAAAATAAAGACGTATGGCCAAGATCCAAAGCATTCTGAAAGTAGTTCAGTGCCAAAGTAACTCCTAAGCTTACTGTTCTCAAACAGAACTCATACCACTTCCTCCCACCTAGCAAACTGGGGATGTTTCTAAAGTACTTGGTGAAGTGATCAAAAATGTTAACAGTTCTACTGGATGTATCCAAGCCTTTTTTGGAAAGTCAGCAATACTCATTGCTTTATAGCCGGTGTGTGCAAAATGACATGTTTGTAGGTTTTGTTGGTTGTTGTTTTATTATTTGAACACAAAACAAAAGATATGGCTTGTCTTCTTCACACAGACAGTCATGATGATCTTTATAGTGGGCCAAGCATGCTGGTTACATTGAAGAAAAATAACTCACCGTCTCTGAGTACTCATTGTTATGATTCTCAACAAAGCTTTTCCTCGTCTGCCAGTTCTAATTCTTCAAATTCTTCATTGCAATTGCTGCCGCCAGCCGGAATAAATTCAGGTACAGTGGTGCAATTTTTACATACTATTAATTATCATCCATTTGGGCATTTATTACTAGGATGATGGATGTATCTAAATAGGGAACAGTAGAGCGATATATAATTTAAATTTGACTTTTTTGAAGGCTTACCTATCATTAGTAATTGAATTTTATTAGTATATAAAGTGCTATGATTCTGTGAAAAATATGAAAAATTGCTGTAATATTTTTGAAAATGGAAAAGTAATTTTTTTTTAAAAAAATATCTCTAAATAGGGGTTCTCAGCCTTTAAAATTAATGGGGTGGATCCAAGTAGTCTTCCTCCAACCTAAGGAGCTTTCATGCAACATAAGTGGCTCTTCTTCCAATGAAAGAGCCACTTAATCCCCCCCCCCATGTGGGATTTTTCATTGGGAAATGCCAAGGGTCATGAAGAGTTTGTTTATTTATTTATTTATTAAATTTATATCCCGCCCTCCCCAAACGGGCTCAGGGCGACTAACAAGAGGCATATGCCATGATACAACTACTAAAAACAGAATAAAACAGTCAATTTCAAATAAAGTGCCGGTGCTCTAAATAATAAGCTCTGATCAATCCAAGATGGGGTTCCACAAACCAGCATAACCCATCAGCATAAGTTCCGGATGGTACTGTCGTCCTTTCATAGCCAGTTCTTCAGGTCGTCTGGTCGTCTTTCCAGGGCCAGCTCACATCCTGATAGAATCCACCGTCAAAGATGGCAGCTCGGTGGTGGTCCAGTTGACTCCCCTTGCCCAGCACTGTAGCCCCAATACTACCAAGGCCCATCACGGGGGCATTTTAGGGTTAGGATTAGCATGTCTGCAAACCTGTAATGGAACTCCCAACCCCTACATGTATTTTGGCCCCTACATAAGTATAAATGGGCACTGCAGCAAACTGTTTTTGAAGGAAGTGCTGCTAATTAACACATAAAGATATGTAAATGAGGACCTATTGTGGAGCTTACTTTCATCTAAAAAGCAGATTGTTTCATTTGAAGAATAGAGGGTTAGATCCCATGAATCCGTTCTGCAGCACTTTCCTCCAGCACAAGCCTTGCACCATAATAAAACATTGTTGTTAGAAGAACAGATCCACTGGATCCAACCCATGATTGTGGTATTTAAACTTCTGACAAATAGATAGTTCTGTTCACATCTTTTATTGTTATTTGTACAGTTCCAGACCCTCATTTGTGTCAATTCTTTTGTTAGATCTTATATTGAGGACTGTGCGCCATGGTATTGCTCATCAGTGGATCCAAAGTAAAAGAGAGGAAATTGTGGACCAGATGACTGAAGCTTGTCTTAACCAGTGTTTGGATGCACTCTTATCAAGAGATTTAATCCTGAAAGAGGATTATGAACTTATCAGTACCAAACCTACAAGGACATCAAGAGTCAGGCAACTGCTTGATACTACAGATAGCCAAGGAGAGGAAGTTGCTAAAATTATAGTGCAAAAACTGAAAGACAACAAGCAGATGGGACTTCAGCCTTACCCAAATATATCTACTGTGAATAAACCCACATCTCTGAATTTATAGAAGGTGGAGTCAAGAACTCATGTTATCTGACAAGTCGGATTCTTGTTTCTGAAATGTCACTTTATAACTTTTGCCTTATTGGTCTACGTAGTATGGAGATCTTTTTTTTAAAAAAGGGCTGGTAAGTGAAAGTATGGTATGTATGTAATACCATTGTCATTTTAAACCTTAAAAATATTTTTACACCAAACACTTGGAATTTGATACACATGTTTTGTGGACCTATAGAGAGAGGAAATATATAAAATATTACAAAAACATGAGCAGCTTCACAATTTTTTATTGTTTTCCTTTTGCCAGCTAAAACTGCCTTTGAGAGAAAAAGTTTAATTGGTTTAATTCATTGGGTGGTTTCCCCGTTGCCATCACTGCTGCTGATACAGCACAGCAGTAACAGGCCTCCCACACAATACTTTCCCCTGCAGTTTCCCTGCCCCAGTCCCCCAGCAAGGATCATCCCCTCTCCTCTGAGCCACTGGGGCTCTTTCAATTTTTTTTTAAAATATCAATTTCGTATCTATAGAACATTATAACAATAACTGTATCTTTTTTTAAAAAAACCCAAGGGTCTCCAGCGTGGTGCCTGTGAGCATCACTGTGCCCGCTAACACCTTTCCTGGTGCATGTCAAGTGTTTTTAGAAAGTGAGTGAGGGGGAGCCATCCTTCCTGAGCGAAGACAAAAATGTGTAAACTGGAGGCCATGCCGAGTTTTGCCTAACAGCATTTCTGATTGGCCACTGGAGATCCAATTGGCTGTGCAAATGTTTTAAAAGTTGCTTTGGCAGCAGCTCTCACCACAGCATAAGAGTCTTCAGTGTGTGACTGAAAGTAAGCTGTGTGTATGCAAGAAAATATTTTTAAACAATGTGTTAATTTTAAAAAGCATCCTGTTAAGCAGGATGTTGAAGGATTACTATTAGAATTATGCGTGACCTCAGTCCCTGACATTCTGTGGTTGGCTCAGTTTATGGTTGTACTCACCACCCTGAATGTGAATTCCAAAGGTGTCTGTAGACTCAAAAAGATTGAAGATCCCTGCTCTAGCCATTTTATGTTGAAGATATGGCTTTGCCCTTACATCTCTGTAATGAAGGAGCTAGAGGCTTACTTTTTTGACAAAAAATGAAAGCTGGAATTTCAGAGAACCTGTTAACATTTATAACAGTATATCAGTATAACAATATGAAATCAATTTTTTTTAAAGGCGAACCAAAAAAAGCCCTAAATGGTGGGAGGAGGAAATGGCCATCACAAGGACAAAGTCAGGGAAAATGACAGCCAGGTGGGCAGAAAAATCAAAACTTTGCCACCCACGTGGCAGCCATCCTGGCTTTACTGTGATGTTTCCCAAAACTTGGGAGGTTTGAGAAACATTGGAGACAAGCCAGGGAAACCCTGGGAGGGTCACAAATGAACTACAATGTGTTGAGCTTGGCATATAACCCACATCATGTAAATCTCTTTGATCTAAAATTATGGTTTTCGGACTTTCTATCCAAAGAGGAAACCTTTCCACATTGATTTGTCTGCTAAGAAAATCCTGTCTGTTTGATCCTGCAGTCCCACATATTGTTGGGCCATTTTTCCCATATGACACACACATGCTGGAACATTTCCAATCCTCACCTGAATCTATTGCTGAAAAAAATCAGTAGTGCTAGCAAGCTGCCTTTCAGTGAAACTTGTCTGCCATGGATAAACTTTTCACTGAAAGACACCTGGTAAGTTCTTGGTGTCCTGTTAGTGTCAAATAAACTTGGCTGATTACTGGTTTATTTCTAAGTGCAATTCAGTATAGCTTTTTACCTTTAAAGCTCTGAATGTTGTGGGACAACTCAAGGATTGTTTGCTGTCCTTGTATAAGCCTGCCCATATTTGAAAACCATCTGCCAAATACCTCTTTTAGGTGTTCCCTGCCTTCAGAAGTGAGATGTGTGACCATTAAGACAGGGCCTTTTTAGTTGTAGTGCCTAGATTGTGGAATGTCCTACCTGGCATATGTGCTTATCCTTTTCAGCATCTGTTTTCGTTTATTCAAGCTTTTGGTAGCTTGTAACTCTCTACCATTAGTTTTCCTGTTGGCAATATTTGAATTGATACTCATATCTTATTTTTCTATTATGTTATGCAAATTTATGTTTCTAATTATGATTGTTTTTCATTTTACCGCAATGTGCTGTGGAAGGCTGAAAGGCAAGGTACAAAATACTTTCAATAAGAAACAAGTTTTCCAAGGAACTTCAGAATTCATCAGAACATAATTTAGCAATGAATACTCTTACCACCACCACTCCAAAATTAGGGCATTTTTATCACTGTCCTTGATTTCTTCAAGGGAATATAAACAGAGTAGAGATGCACTCCACTTCATCCATGTGCTTCTGTTTAGCAAATGCCTCTGTTTAGCATTGAAATATCAGTAAAGAGGAAACTTCATTAGCCGTCATTCAATGGACGTGTGCCTCCTTGTGGAGATAATATAGAATGTACTGCTGTACAAAAAAACATGCTTTTAGTACACCATTTAAGGCATGCATTTCTGAATGATCACTATAAAAATCCTTCTCTTTGCTTTTCTGAGTAAAGCCTATGAACCTAGTAAAAGCATCAGCAGCTGGGCATAGCTTACTAGAAGCCATGGAGCAGAAGGGAGAGTTTGTAAAGTAGGTCACAGTATTAAATTTATATGAACTTCATCTGTATTAGAAACTACCTGACCTTGCTGAAACCAGCACAGCTCAACTCATTAGGGAATCTTCTGCTTACATAACCCTCCTCTTATCTATATCAATTTGGATAGACTGGAGTCAAACCCTAGGAGGGTGCTTTTATTGGCTCTTACCTTAACAAGACTGATAGTCTTATTGAGAAAATATTGTGTTTAGATTGAGTCTATGTAGTTTTTAAACATTTTTATGACCCACAGTTAAATGTTTTATGACTGCATATATCAAAAGCATTAGTGACCTGCCCAGATAGTGGAGGCAACATAAACTAACATGAGTTCCCAGGACTCCTTGGCACACAAAAAATCACTCAGAGCTGAAGTGTAAATATTGCATGTGCTTAGCAGTGTTAAGACAGCTGAAAGCTACACTAAATAATGGGATCAAATGTCGTGCTTCTGTACGAGAAAGACCCTCTCATTTTATCTTTGAATGTGCTTTAATGAGGCTGTTGCAATTAGTGATAGATGAATCCCTTTCCTGTAATCCTGGAATTCAGGGGTATCTAAATGAAATTGATGGGGATTAGATTCACAACAGACAAAAAACAAGGCAAAATTCGTTTCTGGCATTTGCTGCCACAAGATATGGCAATGGTTGCTGGTTTGGATTACTAAACAAGGACTAGACACATTCACAGAGGACAAGTCCATCACCAGGTACTGGCCATGATGGCTAAAGGGAATTTCTGTGTAGCATGCCAATGAATACTAGTTGCTGGGAGTAATAGGAGAAGGTGTGTTACTTTCATGGTCTGCTTGTGGGCTTCCTGGGTTCGTCACCGCAGGAAATGATAGTGGACCAGATGAACCTTTGGGCCAGTCTGTGAGGACTGTTATGTTCCTGTATGTTTTATTCTTAATCCCCTACATTCAGTTCAAACTTGGCTGCACATCCCAAACTTCCTCTAGGAACAATGGAGAAAAAAGTGTTTTCCCAAGAGATCTGCTTTGAATCACAATATCTTGTCAAATGCCCATCCTTGTAATGCCACTTAGGAATGGCATAATAGTAGAAAGGAGGCACCAGCTGATTACACAACACTTCTGTGATTGCTGGATTGCCAGTGGAGCAAGGCCACTATTTCGTAAACCACAGTGTTGTGGTGGAAAGTGCCATCAAGTCACAGCCAACTTACTTTAAACCTGTAGGGCTTTCAAGGCAAGAGATGAAGAGAGGTGGTTTGCCATTACCTGTCTCTGTGTAGCAACTCTGGTGGTCTCCCATTCAAGTACTGACCAAGACCAACCCTGCTTAACTTTTGAGAGCTGGCATGGGCTATCCTGGGTCACCCATGTCTAGTCAGTTTCAAGGAAGGAAGGAAGGTCAGTTTCTCAGCAAGACTAAGTGAGGAATAATCAGGTTCTGAGCATGCACCAAAAACAGCTAGTAGCCTCCATTTCCTGGTTTGCTGCATGCCAGCTGTGCAAAAATGGAACATCAGTTCCAGATTTGTCTTATTAATAATTATGAATGGAGGGGGGATTTTATGGTGGGAGTGCCTGAATAAAAATGGGTGCTTGGAGCAGTGAAAACTCATGTTCTGAAACTAATATTGTCAGCCTTACTAAGTTGACCCTTATTTCTGTTTCATTCATGTTAAGACAAACACGGTAAACATGAACCTGCTGTTAGCAACAGCCAGTTTTCTATCCAAAAATCTAGTTCTGTTAAAAAGAGAGCAGGTTTGAAACAGTGCACAAAAATATGTTGTAACGATTCCTTGTTTATGGGTGTGTGTCACTTTAAAAGTTTGGTTGCATGTGATAGTCTAGAGTGCTTGAAGAGGCAAGAGTGGTGTGATTGGTGAGTGACAGAGAGGGGGAGGGGTTCTGGAAGTGATGCTGTGTGGATGAATATGTATGTCTATCAGGAGTGACAGTTTGAGGTTTTGACAGTTGAAGAGTGACAGTTGATGAAGACAGTGGTGGTTGGAAGTTAGTTCGTTCTGAAGTCTGAGAGAGAAGCAGTTTGTGTGTGTGCAGTTAAGAACAGCTGAGGTTGTTCTGAGAGAATAGTAAAATGTAAATGAAAGTAATTGAAGACAAAGTTTAGGAAAGGCTGTATGTCATGGAGAGAAACAGTGAACTTACATGACCTTGAGTTAAAGCTACAAAGTTACATGCCAAGATCCCTGACAGTGAAGGGAAAAGTGTGTGAAATACCAAATTGTTTAGTATTTACCCATTCCTAGTTACAGTGTTCTACCATATTATTTACGAATTATATCAATAAATCTACTTTTATTTAAGAGACCAGTTCTGAAAGAAATACTTCCCAGGAAACACATAGACCCTCATGAAAGCCTAAAAACTGACCTACCTACCCAGTGATAGAAATATTATAAAGGTTTGAAAAGCCTTAAATTTCCTGGTGGCAGCTGGATATACACAGTAGAACCAAACATAAAGAACACTTTTAAAGTAAAACCAGACCTCCCCAGTTAAGGGGTCATCACATATGTACTGGGAAATTTCTGTTTCAAGTATTGCCTCAGACATGAAGCACCTAAATGGTCTTAAACAAA